GAGACCTATACCGGTTAATTACTCCTTTAGGTATGTGCAAACCTCAAAGTCCTCGGCCGCTAAACTTAATAGACTTTCTAAGCGCGCAGGACTTGTTTTAACCAGTGGTAACGGGGTCAGTCATGAGAGCGACTACACGACGCCCGCAAAAGGGGAAGAGCATGGCTCCGCAGCACCTAGGACCAACTGTTTCAGAAGGATTGGTGACTAAACCATTGAACAGGTGGATTTCGGACAGACTGTAGTTGCGTTCCTATGACATAGAACTGAGCTTACCATTATGAAAACCCTGAGGAATCGCATAGACTCCCTGAAAGGCAAGCAAATTGTATGTGTTGACATCAGAGAAGCATGGGGTCATGGGGTGATGGCAGAAATGGACTTTTAGTTATTGCTGCTTGTCCTGCAAAATTGAGGAAAAGAGGAAACAATGATCTCTGTGAAATTTCGTGATATTAAAGTACATTTGCCAAACATGTTTGTTTGCTAATTCTGTTCTGCCACGGCAGCTAATACACAACAAACAATGACAATCTATTTAAATGTACTTTTTGTTCTTAACTATTTCATAGGGGTTTGCAGCAAAAGTGGTTCTATTTACCGGCACCAGAAGATACATTAACAAAACATGCAAGAATCTTAAGGTTTACATAAAACGCAAATCTATTAGGGAGACAGTTCAAATCTAAGTTTTTTGTATTTCAGTCTCCTTACACGTTATATAGCGTGTCTGATATAGTTATAGAGAATGCTGAGATGCCAGAGTATGGCAGGATATATTTTGGATGCCTAAACGCATGGAACTGAAAAACTTCGTAGCAATCAGATGACAGTGTAGGGGATGGACAACATAATCGATCAGAAAATTGCTTTCCTGTTGTTAACTGACACTGACAGTACTTTACTCTTTACCGCACCGACAACTAGGCCATTAGACATAAATGGATACCGGAACAGATGACATGCTGTCACTTTTAGGTGTCACTCCGTGTCAGAGCATTCCCTGTCTGACGCCGAGTTCG